TCAGATAAATCACATGTTTGATGAATCACTTGTTCCCTAAGCCCAAAGGCAAGTAAATTAAGCTTTGAACCTTTTGGAGTCTAAGCAATAATGGTTCTTGTTCATCAACAGGAAGTGCTGAAAACAATGGTTTGAGAAAGGGAATTAAAGGCTGCATGAAAGCATAGTTGTTATTTTTATTGGCATTTAGTTTTCCATTTATGAGATATGCTACATCTATTATATAGCTGTCCCAAGAATTTGGTCCTGCTAGTAAAAGCCAGCTGGAACCTTCCAGGCTGCTCTTATATTACAGTAATGAAGTTTGCCCTGAACACTGACACTCTAGGGTCAACCATTTATTAATATTGATTTTGTCAGACTTTAACAATGACATATTTTTCCTTATGGTTGTTGGGGCCACTTTAAAGGAGCAGTCTGGGCTGTTGTTTTGTCTTTAACCAATACTGGATTAATTTTGGATAGATGTTTAATTCAGCAAAACCATCACTGAACAGCTTCAATTAACAAGGGGTCACAGCATGGTCAGGAAAGGTTAACCTGGCATTTCAATGGTCTGACTGGCATCCAAACAGTTGACATTCAAGGTCCTGAACAAATAAGGCAAGGCTTTCACACACAGATTCAGTTTGTAGTTATCAACACAAACTGGCCAGCTCAATAAGGTGCCTTCCGGATGTTGTGGACCCTGATTTTCATTAGCATCAGCCAGAATGGCCAGTGGGATGATAACTGTAGCACCAGGTTGGCTACTCCTGCCATACAGTAGCTAGCCATGAGTTCACTGCATTCATATATTACACACCAGTAGTTTCCTTCTAACAAATGGCTTTAATTTTTTAAAACTTCTTTACTGAACTACAAATGTAATTTGTGAACACTAGAGAAACACGGTAAGTACAGGATGATTCAAAATGAAGTATACAGTTTCCAGATGTTGTAAGACACTAAAAGGCAATGACATGGACCACAACTGCAAACCGTGAGGCAGATGTACTAATAAAGTTTGTGTTCCGCTACTGAGGGAAATGACGCAGGCGATAGTGCACGTGTCATGTGACAAGTCAGGCAAAATGGCTGCGTCTGCAATGGAGAAGGCGTTTTGTGTTCTTGAATTGAGCAAAACGGAATCTGTAACTGTTGTGCAGTTTAGATCGCAATTTGGAAAAAAAAACTCCAAGCAGAAAATGTATCTACGATTGGCATAAAAAATTTGAAACTATGGGCTGTTTGTGCAAACTTAGAAGTCCTGGACGACCGTGTATATCAGAAGAAGTCGTCAATAGTGTTTGCACCGCCATTCAATGAAGCCCGGGAAAATCAACATGTAGGGTGAGTTGTGTTTGGGTAGAAGTGGATTACACACATAGAACATCTGTGACTGTTTCTAAAAAAAACTTTAAACATTCTCCTGCAGGTAACATAAGATATATTACATTCTTCTTTTTTATAGTGTGTTTAAACTGTATGCCTCATTATGAATCACCCTGTATTTTTTGCAGCAGGGCTGGGAAACCTTCCAGAGCTGCATGATAGTGGTGGGCATGACTCAGTGGGCAGAGTAATGGATGCAATGCAACTTTGTGTATAATAGGCTACATTACAGCCACAAAGAATTCAGAGCTTTCTATAAACAAGCATCTCCACATACCCCGCTCCACCCAGGCAAGCCCCATCACCACAATTCAAGGACACATTCTATCCAGGCAACTGCACCTGAGGGCTGCTGTTCTGTCAGAGCAGAACCAGTGAACAGTCTGGTCTGGGGATAGTCCTGAAGGCCAGAAAGAGAAGCCCTGAGGGCTGCATTATGCACCGTGGCCTGAGACCACCACACCTGTTTCAGAGGGAATTATGATTACAGTGGTACCTCTAGATACAAACGGGATCCGTTCCGGAGCCCCATTCGCATCTAGAAGCAATCGTAACTAGCGAGGGCACATCTGGACATGCGCACGTCGCTTTTTGCTGCTTCTGCGCATGTGTGTGATGTCATTTTGAGCATCTGTGCATGTGCAAGCAGCGAAACCCGGAAGTAACGCGCTCCCCATAACCCCATGGGGTTGCCGCGGAGCGCAACTCCAACACACTCAACTCGAAGCGTATTCAACCCGAGGCATGACTGTATTTATATATATATATATATACACACAGAGAGAATAATAATCATTTGAATGACAAGCCAAAAATTTCAACAAGCTGCAAAAGCAACAAACAATTCATAAAACTACAGGTATAAGGAACCTATGACCCTCCAATTGTTGCCAGTCTACAGCTCCTATCACCCACTTCTTTGCTACCAGCATCAATGACCAAGCTGGCTGGGGCCAAAGGGAACTGGAGTCCAAAAACAACTGAAAGCTACAGGTTTCCGGATCTTCTTTTTAAAAGCAGTCAATGCTGGGGCTTAACAGATTTCATCTGGAAAGGCTACATATAATCTCCACAGGCCCACGTATTGGCTCCATCAGGATTATTTGTGCTTTGTAGCCTAGACTTCAGATACAAACAAAATGAACCCAAATGCACGAGATTTATGGGGTGGCAGGTTTTGCAATTTCACAAATTGTCAGTGAATTGTAATTTTTCAAAGATGAATAGTGATCAATCAAATGAACCCTGCAAAATCACTTACCATCGGTAGCAAGCAACTACTGAGGTACAGCCAAGTTCTACTAATATGAAATTTCCTCAGATAGTATCATAAACATTGGAAAGGTCACCAATATCCTTTTCTTTTTGGAAAAATGTACAGTTCCCTTACCTTGAACTGTTTTTCCACATTGAAATGCCTGACAAGAATACAGCCAGGAGTTCTTCATAGGTACACTTTGAGATTCTCCTTGTTCACAAGCCGAGAGGCGCTTAAGAGCTATGGAGTTTAAGAATGGGGAAATAATGCCTCTCAAGCCCTCTAGTCACCACCAGCCAGCCTGCTGCTTAATATACCTATAGTGAGAACTCATGCCAATTAAACACATGGGTCAAGAATTTTAACTATAACAACGATTACCAACTGATCAAAGATTATTATGGCACCTAAGATTATTCTGTAATTTACATATGACTGAAGCATACATATTCATGCCAAAGATATGGTTTCCATTCTGAGAGAGATCTAGAAGAGTTTCCCCAGAAAGGAAAGATACAGACAAGAAAAACATCTCAAACCATCTCCCTATCTCTGCTTTCTAATTGGAAGCTTTGTGCAGGGTTTTATCCAGAGCCCTGCTGGACAATCCCATCAGCCCATCTAGTCTGGTATCCCATATTCACGGGGGTCAAGCCCGATGTTTATGAGGAGCCCACAAATAGGAGCTGAGTGCAACAGCAACTCTTCCCACTTGCAAATTTTAGCAACTGGTATTCAGAGGTATACTGCCTCTGACAGTGGAAGCAGAACGTAACTACTGTGGTCATTAGCCATTGATAGTCTTAACCTCACTTTTATCCTGTTGTTGATTTTTATTGTATAATTGTAATGTTTAGAATGTATTGTATGATGTCTACACATTTTTTTTAAATAAGGTGTCTAGTAAGTGTAAGTATGAAATAAATTAAAGTTGAGTTTGAAAAGAGGGCCAGGTGGGCAAAGGGACCATCATCCAGAGAGGTTGTTGCATGCGATCTGCGGCAAACTGGAAGTCCACAGCCCACAAATTTTCACTGTAATCACCGCAATACAAATCAAAGTATTGCTGCTACAGATCAACACTGATCATCCAGGAAAGTAGGTATGAACTACCAACCTAAGGATTCAAAAAGCTTGGTACTTTCTTCAGTAAATCTTTCCCGCTTATTCTCAACCAAGTGCCTTTCAAAGACAGACAGATAAGGGAAACATTTTCCAGAACTGTACATTTTTTCAGTATGACAAATGCGCACTTAGAAGCATTGCTAACATAGTTCCATGCCTAAGGTTAATGTCAGTGTGCGAGGTGTGGAAATCAGTTAACAGTTTGAAATTGGTCCCAGAATTTGCATGACAAAGCAGGCAGCCACTAACATGCAATCTGAAGTACATTAAAAGCCAGCTGACTTCACATAGGGTCACAATGAATAGGTAAAGGACCCCTGGACAGTTAAGTCCAGCAAAAGACGACTATGGGGTGTAGCACTCATCTCACTTCAGGCAGAGGAGCCAGTGTTTATCCACAGACAGCTTTCTGGGTCATGTGAAACAGCGTAGCTGGGGGTGGGTCACACTGGGCACCACTCACTTAGGATGGAATAAGAACCTAAAACACATATAGTCTATCACGGAAGCAATGCAATAATTCTTTCTACGGAAATTGTGTAGCAACTTGTACATAGTTGTAACAGGTAAATCTCATCCCCTGGGCCTGGACCAATAAGCAGGTTCTGTCAAGCTTTGAGACTACTGCTTCCCCTAGGGGCAGTAGTAGTTAAAAGCAGCCCCCTGGGCAAATTGAAGGATAATTATGTTGCACTTCCAGGAAAATGAAGGGCATGTGGGTATGCAGGGAGAAACAGAGAGTTGAAAAGTGTGTGTGTGTGTGTGTGTGTGAGAGAGAGAGAGAGAGAGAGAGAGAGAGAGAGAATGAGAATGCATGGGGTGGGATGAGGGAGAAAGCACAGACATCCAGCCCAATTACAATGAAAATAGTGAATGCTTAGCCATTAATCTCATTTCTAGGTATTATAATGCAAGTTCTACACTCAATTATAAAGAATGAGTCACAGTTATTCAGATCACACACACACACACACACACACACCACCCACTTTTATTTTTAGGTGGGGGGTTAGTTAAAAATCTATTACATAATCCCAGAGAACTACACCCTGCCTTGAACAGCAGCGGCTAAAGCTGTATGAAGCATTCATATCTAAAGCCGTCTGTAGCTTTTCAGCATTGCTCTCTGACAAAGTCCAGGGAGGCAGTCTCCTGCACATTTAGATTTCTCCAAGCTGTGGAGAGCTGTGACATCACCGGGTAAAAGTTTGGCTTCAGCCAGCCCTCTACTGTTTGTGGTTAAGGGGAGGCCCTGAATGTGTCTCTTGCTGGTGGATCCCTTGCCCTTGTGGGAGGGGGAAGCGGAGCTTATCCAACCAGAACTTGTCTGCTTACCGCATGCTTGATTATCTCCCCCCCTCCTCCAGCATGTAAATCCACCACAAAGAAGCTGAAGTTCAAATAGGGCTGTTTTAGCTTCGCTTGAAATGATGGATTGAAAGCTTCAAAACTGAAATGCAAAGAGGCAGAGCTCCTGAAAAGCAAGTCGGTGCTGCAGCCTATTGTCCCTGAGTGTCCATAGCATGGGGACCGACGGCTTTGATTCAGCAAGCAAGTTAAAGGAACAAGAATTTAAACAATAAGGAAGTAACAGGACTGCAATAGCCTTCTTATGTTATCCGTCCAAGCACAGTACCAAATGCATGAAGCTTTTCATGCAACAGAAACTAGATAACCCTCATCGCGAATGAATGCATTTATTTTGCTGCAATCAGTGATGTCACTATTTCTCTGGATGATCTAGTCAGCGAATCTTTTATTGTTATCTTTAAAACAAGTCTCAAGATTGAAGAGAGAAACCAGAAGGAAACAGGGTAAGAATTTGAGATGTGTCACATTTAACATATATTTATATTTTCAGTGCTAGCTGCAAAGTCATTTCAAAAGTGCTCTTGATTTAGAAGAACAATGCCAGATTTTTGATAAGGCTGATAAATTTGAGTTAGAAATCTTAAAATGTGGTTTTCTTATTGAAATGAATTCATCTAAACACTGAAATGTTACTAGATCTGCATAGACTTAAAAAAAATAATCAAAATGAATGTTTGTTAATTTAGTTGATGTGCCAAAGTTCTAAGCATTTCTTAAAGTAAAATCAGCAACAACCAGTCCATCACAATATTGATTGTTTATGTGCAAAATAATTTTTCCTTCCTAAATATAACACAGCAAAATCCTCTACACTTTGTGTCACTTATTTGAAAGGACTATTGTATTACAACCCAGGAAGCTGGTCTTTCCTTTGACGCACTGATCAAAGATACAGAAAGTTCCTCTAAGTAGCAGCTCCTAGAATATCACAGTGTTTGCATGTTTAAGTGAAAACTCATTTTTTTAAAAGTCCAAGCTAAGTAGAGCTGGGAATAGTCCTCGCAACAGCTTTTGCAATAGATGCCAAGTGGGAAATCTGAAGCATGCAAGATATGATCAAACAGTGTTGGAAAGCTCTTATTTTGCAAAGTTCTTAACACATGAAACAGAAAGCAAAAAATGTTAACACATCTTTCAGCATGGATAGGCTTAAAAGAAAATAAAGTGAGGCCACTGTTAAAGGGGAGTAAGAACAAATGTAACATTTGGGTTTAGCTTTCTAACATTTCTAACAAAATGCTGATAACTTCCTGCTTATCTCAGAAACAAAGGTTGCAGGGGCAGTTATAGGGCCTGCCGTCTTTTGTCAGCAATCTCAAAGAGGAAGGATACAAAGTTTGGGATAGGTAATCCTTTAAAGTTTCTGAAGGCATTCGGTACCATTTCAAAACAATGCCCTTGCAGAATTAATCAATGATCCCTGTCTTTTGGGGCATCTATACCACTCCTCAGCAAGTGGGAAATTTGCTGGAGGAGCTCTCAACCAAATGAAGGGGGCTGCATTTACCTGCATAGTTTAAATTACACAGAAAAACAGGACTGCTTCTGCCACACAGGGGTTCAGTAACAAAGTGTGTGTGTCTGTTTGGGGGTTAAGTATTTTGGATGGTTCTGATATTAAAAAACACTTGCTGCCAGACCATGTTTCACATTTGAGGAGTATGATATGCTTGTTATGATAGTTAACATTTAAAAATATCTATCTGTCTGCTCCTTACAATATCCAACACAATGAAGTGGCCTCATATAATTATTTTTCTCCTGTCTTAAGAGGAGTGTTTCCACATACAGCAAGTTCCATCTAGAACTTTGTCTTGCAAAAATCTTATTTGGCTCTTGAGCCCTTCTGCTTTTATGCACACTGGATTGTGAAATGCATGAGTACCTGGGAGATTAACCCCTGTTGAATTTTTTTACAAGAACCCATTCTACATGGAATTAGGGTGACAACAAAGGCTGTGTCAGGATGGGAGAGAAAATGATTTTAAAAAGTCATTAAAAGTACCTCACATAATTTTTCATTCCTTAAATATTTAATTTGAGCTCCAGCAGAACAAAACAATACTCAGCACTTATCGACAGGGTACTTATATTCATCTGTGCTGGGAGTGTCTGCATGTAGTAAGATTTTGGGATGAGGTACTTAAGAAGGTCAACACCACAACTAGGCAAACAGTTGCTTAAAAAACTTAGTCAGCTATTTTCACTGTTTGAGCCTGGGGTAGCATTGTATTTAACAATTTTATTAGATTCATGTTACTTGCTGCCAGATTTGTGATAACAAAACTGTGGTAGAACAATACAACTCTATTCATATATCTCTGGTACAGTATTTTTTGGCAAATTGCCATTGTGGATGGAGAAACTTACTAATGAAATCCAAGTCATCAAGGGAGAGCAAACCAGGTGCCTTTCCCCCCTTTCTCCCCCCCCTTTTTTTTGCAAGAAAGCAGCAATGCTATTTTTCATACTAATAAGACTGACAGTACAAGGAACTAGTCCAATATAGCAATGTGGAATACAATTACTCAAATGTCTAGGGATTTATAATATGTTAATACTGTCTTAAGTCCCTCTCTTTGATGAATATGATATGAGTGATTATCTTCTATATTATTATTAGAAGAAGAGTCCAATTTAAACTTCAGCTATATATGAAGCAACTGTAAAGAAAAGAGCTCTTGTGATCATGTACAGAGTGACCTTTCCTCTCTACCAGCTATGGGCACCTGCTAGCACATTTCTATCATTAAGAAGCAGAGCTCTATGCCAAAGTGGATGATTTAAAGACTGGCCCCTGTAGCCCTTTGTTTAGAAGCAAAGCACTCTATAGTTTGGGTGCAAACTGCTTTATAGCTCACAGGCTCCAAATATTTTACATAAGCATCTACTACTGAGTCATCTATGGTTCCAAACTTTCACCAGGATAGCAAACATTCAGAAAGCTCCCTGAATTTGCACCATTCATACTGCTAGCTGATCAAAGTCTACCGACACAAACAAAATACTTCAGTGGTCTTCTGGTGGTGGCCCCTAACCCAACATCTAGGAACTCTCACTATAACAAAATGCCAAGGCGAATGTTGCTTAGGGGAAATGGGAAAGAAGGAGAATGTGAAATAGTCTGACAACTTACAGTATCTACAATAAGATGGGAAACTAGTTAGAGTATCTATAATTAGAATACTTTTGTCACAATTACAACTTCAACAAAATTAAGATTAGATATCAAACCAGTTTTTTCTACATTCTAGCTATGACAGAATGTATTATAAAATAAGTGGCAACTTTATATAACTACAAATGAACTAGCACCTAGCGGTTGGGTGTCCAGCATAATTTAACTGACTGCTGTCACTGTGTGATTTTTTTAAAAGGACATTTGCACAGAAAACACCCATTGCAGCTTTGCATTCTGTATTATTCCCAGAAAAAGGGAATAATACCCTAATGAACTGCCTACTGCAATCTGGTATGTTCATAAATGGTCAGAGACTCAGGTTTATTTTTTCAGGGAAAAATACCACATGGCTAAACACTAGGTCTTTCATGAATTCTCATTCATTTGGGTATGAAGGTTTGCTGCTTATGAAAATTGGGCCAAAACATTTTGATACACTACTCAGCCTGTGAACTATTATGGAGAAAAACCCTCCAAAAACTGGTACCCAGTTGCCCAACCAATTTATGACATACATATAATGAAAGGGGAAAGACCATGAACTTTCATATTCACTTGGGTATTAACTTAGGTTTCCATCTATCCTTAAATGTGATTTGTGATCACATTTATTTAACCATGATCTGCTTTTGTTGATGTTAGGAGTGAAGTGGGAATTGCTGGGCAGATTGATTATCTTTGCTTTGAGCTTGTTATATCTATGAAATATATGTTTTCCTGACTTACTAAGGCTGATTTAATTTTGATAAGCTTTCTAAAACTTCGTACAATTATCTTCTTACCTGAGTATTAATTGTTCAGGCATTAAAGGTATGCATTCTGAACTCTTGTTAGATATTTTTCTGTATGTTTTCAACGTGCACCATGGGAAATGGAACCTCGAAGTGGCTGCATCTAAACCAGGAATGGACTCTGATTCAGTACAGCATGGGGCCTTCCAGAGACATTGCACCCCTCTCTTAGTACAGCAATAATAGTAGCTATTCGCTGAAATACGCCTCTAAGACATAAAAGCCTGCCTTGGTGCTGGGGTATAGCTGAGTTATTAGTCAAGCCAGAGTGTCAGCAAAATACAAAGTAGATCAACAACCTCCAAAGAGCAGAAGTAAAACTGCTGAAATTTCAGTGGTATTTCAAGATAGTGTAGGTAAACAGGAAAGATGGAGCAAGAAACTCAGCGATGATATAATCCACACATTCCAATAAGTGCCTGTGACACACAAATATCTTCCACACAGAAACATACTATGGCAGTCCTGCTTGCTAAGTCAACAATGGATGTTTCTGAAAACTATAGTTAAATTGCAGAGAAACAGAGAGTTAAAGACAACAGGTGTGTGCTAGCTTGGGAGACAGCAAGCAGGCAAATTAGCAGTGGCTGCCCGAGAGAAGTGGTGCAGAATCAAGGCTGGCATTGGTGGGCACCTGGTGAATGTCCACACCCCAGTATAGGGTCTACTGATTAGAATCACCTGGACCCGTTCCATCTCTTTGTCATTGCAACCTGCTTCTGCACCTGCCTCTTGCTCTGGCTCAGAGCGGATAAGCAAGCAAACAACAGTTATGAGCAGTAGCTGTCACTGTCTGCTTTCTTATTGGTTTTGTCTAGCAAGCAATCATGGGATGGCACTGATGAAGCAGATGAGAAGCACCAACAGGCAACAATAGTAGTGAGGGGGTACACTTATTGAGAGAGGAGAACATATTGAAGGTGTCTTGCCCAATCCTCCTTTCCCCGCCTACAAAACAAACACCCCCCCAAAAAAAACCCTAGCTGAGGTCACATTTAATGGACCAGAATGCTTAGTGGGTTTGTTTTTTTAGCTTCTCTCCAAAGCGCAATGTAACTTCCCATAAAACATTGCATTGTGCCACCTGCATACTCTGCACTGATAAATTCCTATTGTACAGCTCTTTGCATTTTAGCATAGCAAAACAAACAAACAAACAAAATATCTTTAAGATAAATAGATTTAATGTTTAGGCACGGAAAATACCTTTATGATATTTTATGGCTGTGGGGATTTCCATTTGTCTTAGTAAGAAATTTTAATATAACCCTAGTAAATACATATGCTAGTAAAGACAAAGTATAACCTGTTTCTTTTACTATGGGATCTGAAGTATATTAGTCTCTTGCAGTGTTGACTTTAGCTTTCCAAACATCAGCTCTGTCACTTAAAAAGAATTCTGCAAAGACTCATAGAAGAATCTTTGTTTAAATTACAAAATGTTCTCCCTCAAACATATAATTCATAGTAA